TGCGCGGACACGGCTCGCAGCGCTGCCTCCCAGAGGCGCCCGCCGACCAGGGCGTCAGGCGCCCCGCGCGCGCGAGGCTGGCGCCTCTCTGCGCCAGCGCCGTCGCCGACGCGGGGGGCCCTCGCCCGGGCGCAGCGCCGGAGCTGCGGCTGCAGCCTCGGGAGCCACCTGCGCGCCCGCGCGCCCGCGAGGTCCTCGGGAGGCCGAGCTCTCTCGCTCCCTGGCTGTGCAGTGGTGGTGATAGTGACCACGCCTTGAGAGCGCACTGGGAGCCCCCTGAGAGCCCCCTGGGTGCGTCCTGGGGGCCTCCTGGGGGCGCCCTGGGGGCCTTCTGGGAGCGCCCTGGGAGCGCGCGCCCTGGCAGCGCCCTGGGAGCGCCCGCCCTGGGAGCGCCCGCCCTGGGAGCGTCCTGGGAGCGTCCTGGGGGCGCCTGGGAGTTGCCTGGGAGCGCTCTGGGAGCGTCCTGGGGGCGCCCTGGGGGCGCATGGAGCTGTTTGCTGCAGCGCTTGGTGTCCTCGAGGGTCGGCGTGACCCTTTCGACGACAAGTGAGGCTCATGGGCTCTCCCATCCTTGGAGGTCGGTGCTGGTGAATAGTGGGAACTCACACTTCTCATCATGAGGAGGATGAGGCACGCATGCTGGTGCCGATTATGACGGTGATGATGATGCTGAGGATTATGATGATGATGATGATGATGATGCTGATGCTGATGCTGATGATAATGATGATAATGATGATAATGATGATAAGGATGAGGATGAGGATGAGGATGATGCTGCTGCTGATTATGCTGATTCTGATTGTGATGTTGTTCATTGTGGTGGTGATGATGATGCAGCTGCTGCTGCTGATGACGATGACGATGAGGATGACGATGCCGATGCTGATGATGATGGTGATGCTGATAATGGTGGCAATGATGATGACGATGATGATGACGATGACGATGATGATGCTGATGATGCTGATGATTATTGTTTTATCGTTGGTGTCATTTTTGATGGTGCAGATAATGCTGGTGGTGGTGATGAGGCTGATGATGACTATGTTGATGGGGATGATACTAATAGTACTGTATATTATTATGACGATGCTGTGGATGACGATGATGCTGCTGATGATGATGATGATGATGCTGCTGATGATGATCATGATGCTGCTGATGAGGACAATGCCGATGATGATGCTGATGATGATGCTGGTGCTAAATATGATGATGATGATGACGATGACGATGATGATGATGATGTTGCTGATGAGGACAATGCTGATGATGATGCGGATGATGATGTTGGTGCTAAATGTGTTGATGATGATGCTGATGTTTATGATGATGATGTTGTATAGTATGATGAAGACGACGATAGTGATAACGATGATGACGATGACGATGAGGATAATGATGATGATGCTGATGAGGATGCTGAGGCTGATGCTGCTGCTGATTGATGATGCTGATGATGATGCTGCTGATGATGATGATGGTGATGATATCATGATGCTAGTTGATGATCATGCTGCTGCTGATGATGCTGCTGCTGATGATGATGATGATGATGTTGTTGATGATGATGATGATGTTCATGATGATGTAGAGGACAAGGAGGAGGACGATGGTGTTTACGAGATCCCCCCTCATGTGCACCCTATATTTTCCGTATACGGGAAAATCATGGGCCTCAGACTGGTTTGCAGGCCCCCGACTTCGCTAGCGCTTCAGCGACCCGCCCGCTCGAGCCGACCGTCTGGGACCGCTCAGGGTCCGCCCTCCCGACCCGCCCGTCTGGTCTTCCCGCTTGTTTTCTTGCTCCTAACCTCTTGCTACTCTCTCTCTCGTGCTCCATCCTTCTTCCTTCCCCAGGTGCCTTCCATCTTCTCCCACCCTTCCCCTGTTACAGGGGCCGCGCTAACTGCATGCGGCAGGTAAGGAAGATATCCCCCAATGGGGGGGGGATACGAGCAAAGACGAAGAGGTGGGTATCCAGGGACTTGGATATACATGCTAAATGACACGCGAGCAGACAAGTACGAACAGTCTTGACGTGGCTGTTTTTGTTCTGTTTTGTTGTTGTGTTGTTTTGTTTTCGATGCTGTAGTTGTTGTTGCTGTTGTTATTATGGTGGTGATTTTTGTTGTGGTTGTTGTTGCTGTTGTTGCTGCTGCTGTTACTGTTGCTGTGTATGCTGCTGTTGTCGTTATTGTTGTCGTTGTCGTCGTCGTCGTCGTCGCCGTCGCCGTCGCCGTCGCCGTCGCCGTCGTTGTCGTCGTCGTTGTGGTCGTGGTCGTGGTTGTTGTTATTGTTGCTGTTGTTGTTATTGTTCTTGTTGTGGTTGTTGTTGTGTTTGTTATTGTTGTTGTTGTTGTTGTGGTTGTTTTTGTTTTTGTTGTTTGTTATTTGTTGTTTGTTGTTTGCTGTTTGATGTTTGTTCGTTGTTGTTGTTGCTGCTGCTGTTGTTGTGGTTGTTGTTGTCGTCTTTCTTGATGCTGTTGAATTCTCATTTCTACAGATAAATGATAGTTTTTGATCCCCCCTGCCCGGGAACCATTGTACTTTTTCAAATGAAGTGCTTCGCCCAGGGCTCGCACCCTGCTTTTTACAAGGGACAGCTGGGTATCACCAAACTGGGACCCTGGCCCCTGGTTTACAGCAACAGCGTCTTCCGCCTGACACTTCCTCCAAATTCATTCCAGAATCGCGCTCTCGCGCAGGACTTCCTATACTTTACGCAGGAATCGCGCTCTCGCGGGGGACTCCCTCGCAATTGATTCAAACGCATCGCCCTCGACGCTCAGGAATCGCGCTTTCGCTTTGGCTTCTCCGGTGATCAATTCGGGAATCGTACTATCGCTCGAGACTTCCTCGCAATCCATAGAAAGGACTCACGCTTCAGCAACTTGCCTGCTCGACCTGGACGCCTTGGCCCGCCTTCCCAACCCTCCCGTTACTGTAGGGTCTACCCGCCCGATCAGCCTGTGTGGTTCTGCCACGTGTTTTCTGCTCCTGGCCCCCGCGTCCTGCTAATCTGTCTCGTGCTCCATCCTTCTCCGCCCCCCATCCGTCCGATCTGCCCCGGTTTGGCGGGCTGCGCTACACGTACGTGGCAGGTAAGGAAGATTCACCCCCAAGGGGGGTGCGATCGAAGACGAAGAGGGCGGGTATTGAAGGTTCGGGACATGCGTGTTGAGTGGCACGCGAGCAGGTATCAGCGAACAGTCTTAACTTTATTGCTGTTGTTGTGTTGTTGTGTTGTGTTGTTATTGTTGTTTTTGTTGTGGTTGGTGTCGTTTCCGTCGTAGTAGTAATCGTAATAATTGTTGCTGTTGACGTTGTTGTTGCTGTTGTTGTTTTTGTTGTCGTTGTTGTTGATGGTGTTGTTGTGGTTATAGTTGTTGTTGTGGTTGTTGTTGTTAGTGTAGTTTTTGTTGCTCTTGTTGTTGCGTTTGTCGTGGTTTTTATTGTTGTTGCTGTTCATGTTGTTGGTTTCGTTGTTGTTGTGATTGTTGTTTTTTGTTGGCGTTGTTTTTGCTGCCTTTGTCGTCGTTGTTGGTGTTGTTGTTGTGGAAATTGTTGACTTCTCATTTATAAAAAAGCGTTGCCACCCAGTTTACAACAGCGATTCCCGCCTGATGCTTCATCACAATTTATTTTCAAATCGCGCTCTCGCGCGGGACGTCCACACAATCTATTCACGAATCGCGCTCTCGCGTGGAACTCCTTTGCAATTTCTTTAGACGCCGCGGACTCGACACTCGGGAATCACGCTATCGCTTTGGATTTCCTGACGATTTCTTTGGGAATCGCGCTATCGCTCGAGACTTCCTGATTCATGCAGGACGCACGCTTCAGCAACCCGCCTGCTCGACCTGGCCGCCTGGGCAGGCCTTCCCGACCCGCCTGTTAGGGTCTACCCGCCCAGTGCCCGTCTGGTTCTGCTACGTGTTTTCTGCTCCTACCCCCCCTGCTGCTACTCTCTCTCGTGCTCCATCCTCCTCCCCCCCTTGTCCCTTCCTTCCATCAGGCTTCTCTTCCCCTGCCTTAGGGGCCGCACGCAATACACGTTGCAGGCAAGCAAGGTATACACCCCCAAGGGGGTACGATCGAAGACGAAGAGGGCGGGTATCGATGTTTTAGGGTATACGTGTTGAATGGCCCGTGAGCAGATAAGAGCGAACAGTCTTAAAGTGATTGCTGTTGTTCCTGTTGCTGTTGCTGTTGTTGCTGGGGCTGCTGATGGAGACGACGACGATGATGATGAGGATGCTTGATTACTCTGATGACGGTGACCATGATGATTATGATGCTCATGTGGAGGAGGAGGAGGGGATTGATGATGCTGATGATGATGCTGATGATACTGCTGCTGATGATGCTGACGATGCTGCTGCTGCTGCTGATGATGATGATGATGATACTGATGATGATGATGATGATGATGATGATGATGATGATGATGATGATGATGATGATGATGGTGACGATGATGGTGACGAGGATGAGGATGTGGATGATGGTGATGCTGATGATGATGATGATGGCTGATGATGACGAGTAGGAGAAGGGAGAGGAGGAGACAGAGACGGAGGCAGGCGAGGGCAAGGAGGGTGGAGGGGATGCGGGTACGGAGCTATGGGAGGGAGGTGGCGAAAGGGGATCGGGGGGAGGGGGCATACTGAGGGGAAATGGGACGGGCTCTCGTGGTTCCTGACAGCGCGCGAACTTTTAGGGCAGACGCGAGCACGCAGGGGCCGCCATTGCATCCTTTCCCTCCTACGTCTTCTCTCCCCGCCCCCAGACAGGGCGAGATATACGTATCTCTAAGATTGTTTTTGAGCTCAGAGCTCCACTGGTGGCCGAAGCGGTCCCAGGCGGCGTTGCGGGGCATGGCGCTTCCTTCCACCGAGTCGGTCCGATCCTCCATTTGCGCTCTTTCCTCCTCCCGCCTCCGCTTCTCCGTCCAGGGTAGAGGAAGCAGGGGGCACGGGACGGCTGCCTGGAAGGTCTGCTTCGAGACGCTGACAAAGATGGGCTTCTTCCTCAAGTTCCCTCCAGCCAAGGATGGCATCTCGGGGTGTCTCGCCTGCTACTCCAGATGCATTGCTTCAGGAACATATTGGGCAACATATGCTTTTCGCAGACGCTGGCCTTGCAGGTTTGTTGCCTCCTTGTTTCTGGATGCTTCTTGCACCTGCTAAGAAATGCCAAGAGTACTCGCATCAGCAGTCCGCGTATTATTTGTTGCAGCAGGGCTAGTCGTAATATGGGGGTCAATAGTGATGGTGGTGATGTTGCTGGTGATGAGGTAACGATGCTGAGGAGAATGAGGATATGTGTGCATGTGTATATATATACTTTTACATATAGAGGCAACATGCATATAATTATGAACATAGAGATGGAGACAGGGAGATGGAGAGAGAAGCAGAGAGAGAGAGAGAGAGAGAGAAAGTCAGAGGGAAAAAGAGAGTGATATACGGGATGACGGAGGAAGGCGCTTCGAAATGAAGCAGCACGCCCCCGCCTGCTCGCGCATGGGGTCGAACTGGTGCACGCCGGGCCGGCTCCATTCGTGTGCCCACGCCGTGCCGCCGCCTCTTTCGTCCGTTCCTCTCTCCTTCCGCCTCTTGCCCCCATGGGCTGGTCAGCTTTCTTTCAAACTCGACTGTGAGTAACCTGGGCCCTCACCTTCTGTACAGGTCCCGGGGTTCCTCTAAACATATTTTTCTAGAGTTGAGCACGTCTTCGCGACACTGCTATCGTCCGCTGCCGCCGCCTCTGGCTTCTCCGCTGGTTTCATTAATTGTCTTGCTTCTTCAGGCGTACTTGTCTTAGCGTGAGTTGGAGTACGAGCTGGACTTTTATGATCGTTCGGGTGCACTGATCTCGGCCGTACCGCCGTTCGATCGATGCGCCTCTGGCAGCACTGATGCCTCGTTACGAGAGGTTGGCAAGGCGTGCCCGCAGACGCGCGCGGTCGAGACGCAAGTCGTTTTTGGGGCCCCTCCGCCCAGGATCTCTTCGGCCCTCGCTTCCGAGAGCTTTCTGATGCCGCGTGCCCAGGGGTTGGCGCGGCATTCCCGGGGGCGCACCCGCATTGTGGAATGTTTCAGGGCGCATTCCAATTCCTGCAATGCCCATGTGGCTTCTTGGAGGCCAAATGGATGTTAGGTGGCAGAGGGGCTGCCGCAAGTGATAGTCGCTGGACTGCGCCTTGCGCCTTTTATCGCCTGGATCTCTCGGTTTCGCGTCATCGCCAAGAGGAGCATCGGACGGCAGCGCAGATGTGGGCAAAAGTGTGAACACCTTGTCCTGTATCTCACCACCCTGCTCTGGAAGCTGCACTGAGGCTTCCGGCCTGGCGCACCGTCGGGGTCAGCGACCCTTCGTCTTCCTGCAGGCCGCTCTCTCTCGCTCGCTCTTGCCCACAGCTGCTCGCTGCTGGCGCCGCCGAGGTTCACGACCGAGGTGTTGCTTCCGATGTGTTGGGTTCAAGTTTTGTCGGCCGTGTTTCTCCTGGACTTCAGGAGTGCTTGTGCAATGCTAAGTTGTCCTGGGCATTGGTCCTCGCCTGGTATTCCCATGACGTCACGTTCGGAGGCTTTGCCTGGTCTTGCTTCTTTCCACCTTGCGCTCGTCGTCCCTTCGGGTGCTTCGTGCTCGGCCTCGTCGTCGCGCCGTGCGGGTCCTCGAACTCGTCCTTTACTTGGGCGTCCTGTTCCTTCACGCTTGTCGCTCTGTCGTCGCCCTGGTCGCCTTTCTGGTTCGGCGTGCGTGGCTCCGCCCCCCGCGCTCTGGCCCTGCGCGACTGGCTGCTGTTGCCCGCCGGCTCCTCATCGTCGAATTCTTCGGCGTCTGAGCGTTCCTCCTTCCTCTCGGCCTCCCCCCTCCCTCCCTGCACGCCGTCCACCTCGCTAGCAAGCGCCCCTCGCCGCCGACGAAAAAAAGTGCGGCTCCGCCCCCGTGCCGCTCCTCCGTCGACTCCGACCTCGACCCGCCCGTGCACCTCCTTTGCCAGGCACGCGCAGTCCTCTGCGCGGCGCGAGCGTGGCCCCCCCCTCGCTCCTCCCAAGGCCCTCCCGGGGTCCTCCTGTCCGTGCCTCGCGCGCACTTCCCTCCCGCCCTTCTTCGGGGCCCCCAAACGGGGTCTTGGCATCGCTCGGACGTGTGCATTGTTTGTCCGGCGAGAACCATCGAGGACCATCCTGGACCATCGAGCAAACAAAAACACGCACGACACCGAAAAATGCAGAGGAAATGGACGTCCGAGCGACGGCAAGGGGTGGTGACCACCCCGTGTGGTGAGTCGATGGGGATTCGGTGTCACCGCGCGGCTTTGGGGCTCGGGTCGTTCTCCGAGGGCGTCTCGGGCGGCTGGGGCCTCCGAGGTCCCCAGGCCGTGCGCCGACGGACCGTGCGGTGAGGTCTCGGGGATGTCGAGGTCACCGCGCGGTCTGTCACTGCACCGTTTCGGGACTCCAAACCGTGCCTCGAGCGCGCTCCCCCCCCGCCTTTCGGGCCCCAATTCGCTACGGATGCGCCCCGCCGTCGCCAGCGCGCTGCCCGACTTGTCGCGGCCGCCGGCCACGGATCGATGCCAACGCCCAGGGGGGGCGGGGGGGGGCCACGCGGAGCGGTTTCTCAGCGTCTCTCGGCACATGATTCGTTCAACGGCCACACTCGCAAACGCCGTGATTCAAGGGCGTTAAAAACGCCCCAGCCCTGGTTTACGAAGTGCTGTGCGCCGAACCTCCCGAGGGCTGACCGGGTAGACCCTGCACGTCGCGCGCGTCGCGCGGCGTCCTGGCGGCTCTCTGGCCTTATGGGAGCTTTCAGGAGGTTTATGGACCACGCACTTTAAACCCATCGGCGTCACCCCAACATACTTATACTATATGTGTGTCGCCCCATGGGGCGACGCGCGCACCGAGAAATCCTGTAGTATATGTGTCGCGGCGGGCGCTTTCTGGCCACACCGCTCGGGAAACGATCCACTACAATATGGGTATACTACATGTTCGGGTTGGACGCGCGCCTCCAAGGATGACATATAGTACATGTATGTCTCTGTGCGTCCCATCCCAGGGTGGGGGCGTTTCTGCATCCCTCGAGTCATCGCCTCCGACTGTGGCGCTGCCGCGCCTCGATCGGCCTGCTCCAGCGTGCCGGCGGGCGCACGCCCGAGGCGCCAAGCGCTCCCGTCGCTCCCTCTCCCCCGCCCAGGAGGGCCTGGTCCACCTCCTGGAGGAGGTGCACGAGGTCTACGACGTCCTTCTCTCGTGCATCGAAACCTACGAGTGGACGGGCTTGCGCCGCAGACGTTTTGTGCCGCAAGCCGTGCAGAGGGGGTCGGAGGTGGGCGAGGAAGTTTGGTGGGAGTGAGCGGGGACGGAGGAAGGGGTACGGCAGATTCGTGTTGTGTCGGCGCGGCGGAAAGCGTTCAAGGTTGAACGTGCCCAGTGGCCCCGAATCGGCAGGTATCGAATCGTGTGCGTTATCGGGGGTCGCCGGGCGCCGATACTTCAAGTTTGAACGATCTACGTGATGTGAGAGACCGATGCCGAAATCGTCACGCCACGAACCTGTCGAGCAGGGAAATAGCAGTAATCATGTTCTCATGGGCTTGGTTTCGAGCAGCCAATATTAAACTTAGGCTGTGGCCAGGGCTGCCAGTGGATATGCGCCCTCATATTGGACTGGGATATGTAGCGCTATGGAAGTTGCCTGGCGCGTATCTTCTGCTCCCAGACTGATCAGCGTACCCCTTGCCCGAAGCCATGGGGCTGGACACATGGTGCCAGCGAGATGAGGTTAGCGGGGAACCAGAAGGGGATGAGGTGCGAGCGAGGGCGGTGGAGGGGACTAGTGAAAACTAATTCTTGTACAGCTTGTTGCTCCTGTAGCAAAAAAGTTTCCCCTCACCCTTTCCCTAAAGCAGTCGAAGCGCATCCTACCCCGCCCTGCCTCAGTGGCCCCCAAACGGTGTGGTGACCGCACCGCGTGGTGAGTCAGCGGGGATTCGGGGTCACCACACGGTTTTGGGACTCGGGTCGTTCTCAGAGGACGTCCTGGGCGACTTCTATGACCCCCAACACGTGCGGTGACGGACCGTGCGGTGAGGTCATTGGGGATTCTCAGGTCACCGCGCGGTCCGTCACGGTGAGGTCATTGGGGATTCTGAGGTCACCGCGCGGTCCGTCACCACACGGTGTTGGGGCCCCGAATTGTCCCAGGTGGGTTCAACCCGGTGCGACGGGCCTCCTGCGCCTGTGGATGCTGCAGGTTGTCTTTGCATGCTTCGACTACAGGCAGATTCAAGGCCATCGTGTAGCACTGCTGCCTCTCCGAGCCTTGCGGGCCGTGCTTATCGTTCGCAGGTGTGGCGATCGTGTTTCGATCATTCCTCCGTTGGCTCTCGACGGGTGGTTCGTCGAAGCTTCTGTTGCTCACTTGAGCGCGTGGTGCAACTCGTGATACTTGCTGCTTGCTCAAGTCGTGTGTAGAGTCTCAGAGGTCCCGCCGCAGATGGGCGGTTCGGGTGGCTCTCAGTTCAGTTTTAGCGAGGGAGAGAGGGAGGGAGGGGGGATGATGAGAATGATGATGAGGAGGAGGAGGGTGAGCCAAGAGGGACGCTGCCTCTCCTCGCCGTTCTCCTTCTTGTCCATCGTCTGTGCTGTGCGCTCTTGCCCTATTGCGTTGGATCTTGCCCAGATGCTGCGCAATCGGCTACCGAGCAAATGATGAGCCAGCATGGAGGCGAGACACGACCAGATGCAGCACCCAATAAGATGCGCACAGTCGGTTGAAGGTCGAGTCGCCAGTCTAGCACCACCAGGAATGTGATGACCCCCATGGGGCACTTAGGATCAGGCCAGGGAACCGTGGAGACCTCCTCTTGCTTCTCCTTCTTGGGAGGGAAAACCACCCAGACCGGACAATTGGCGTTTACTAAACGGCCTTGGGCGTTTATTGAACAGCCCTGTCCTGTTCGATTCCTTCTTCGGATGCGTTTACTAAACGGCCTCGCGTGTCTGGGTGATTACTATGGGGGTGGGTTTTCTCCCCTCTCCTCCAGTAAATATGCTCCTCTCCGCCTCATCTTCTAGTTGCCTCTCCTGCCGCCTGCCTTGTCTCACTTTGACATGTATTCTATGGCAGTGCTTTCCTGCAGCTGTTTGATTATCAAGCGTGAAAAGGAGCGTGCTGCCGCGCGCTCGCGTCCGGGCGTCGGCCGGCCGGCCTCCTCCCTTTCCTTGCTCGGTATCACTTGCTATACGGATTTTCTATTGTCTCAATCATGCCTCGTCCCAAACCCTCTACCACAGAGCGTGACCTTAGTCCCTTGGACATCTTACCCCGATTCTCAGAGGAAAGACTGATTATCAGCCGAAGCCCGCGACCAAGTCGCTAGGGGATTGAGTTATGTTGAGACAGCCGAATTGCTCCCGATACTACATCATGGATATGATGGCGGGCAAGATCATCAGGACGGCGGCCCCGGGGAGGGCCGCTCTCTTCCCTCTTCTAACCTCGCTCGGGTTCTTCGGGGAGGAGTTGTCGAAGGAATCATAAGTTTATCTGCTGACGATTCTCCCACTCGTGCTCCGATCAGCGAACGTGATCAGACCCCTAACCCGACGAGGCGGAACGGCCCAGCCGTGAACGCCAGGCGAGGAACCTTCTCATCTTGGATTGCTGAGTCCCCAGAAACGGTGCATTCCAGCCCGATAGCCGTTCATTTTATCGAGCCGGCCGCTGGCCCAGCCAGCCGGCCGCGAGTCGTGGACGAGTCGAGCGGTATGGTCCCCGCCGTCCCAGACGGTTGGGGTCGACCGCCCGGGACTCACCCCATCCCGATCGTCTTGAACGGACAACCCGGTCAGGACAGCGACGAACAGCTTGACGACGAAAACGAGGTCAACTCCATGGAGGATAACATGGAGTATACCGCGTATGAAATGCCCCCAAGCCGAGTTTCGCCGTTCTTGAACGCTGCCGACTGCCCCGTCCAAGACGGAAGGTCCTCCCCAGGACAGGATACCGTTGACTACGATCACTTGGAAGCTCTTGGGGAGGCGTTTGCGGAACCAGATCTAGACACCACGACCAGCGACCTAGTCCGCGAGGTCCCAGCGGTACGCGAGCCATGGGGGACACCTGTACCGACCCCTGCTCTCCCAATCGGTGAGGCTCCGCCCCGGGCGGCAGAGGTTGCATCGAGTTCCCAACGTCGTGCCAAGCATGACCGGGAGTCCACGGGCCGAACGCCAGCTCTTCAGCATAATCAGCACAGGAACGAATATTACGATTTGAATGCTTCCCCGCTTCAGGAGGGGTTCCATCGGTCTGCCGTCGCCCCAGGCGATTGGCAGCCGTCGGTCCCCGCGGTAGCTGCGGATGACGATCCGTTTGACCCCCCAGTCACACTCCCGGACTTGATTGCACAGGATGAACGGGACGAGGCGCTCCGCGAGGTGGCCAAGCCGCCGGAGAACGCACGCATTCGCCCTCGATCATCGGCTTCGAGCCGGGAGCGGCCCAAGATCCCACGATCTGGCGCCCGGTCGACTTCGAGGAGGACCAGTGCCATTTCCATGCGCGAGACGTGCTGGAACCAGGGCCCTGGTTGCCCGCCCCAGGCGGAAAACAGGTGCCCGGGGAAAGCCCGCAAAACCGGGGGGCCTTGCAGGCGCCCAGTGCGTGGGGGTTGTTCCAGCGTGTGCCCCACGTGTGGCAATCAATGGTTGTGTGAGGACTGCGTCCAGATGGGAGAACATACTTGCCAATGCCTTTTGATCCAGGCCATGCAGGACCATGCCAGGGCCCTAGAGGCCCAGAGACAGCAAGAGACTATGGCCCTAGAGGCCCAGAGGGCCGAACAGGCCCGGCTGGATCGAGAAAAGATGAATGCAGTTATTGCCGACGTTCAGAGGAAGTTCGAGGCAAATGGGCTTGCCGTAGCCCAAGCTGCCAGTCGGCGAGAACAAGAATTGTTAGCCCACATGTCCCCTCAGACCGTGGCTGCCCAGCAGCGCGCGGAAGAAGCCGAGAACAATATTGTTGAGGCATTGTCTTCTGAGCGACGGGCTGCCTTGGCGGTGCGCAGCCAAGCTGCGGGCGCCAAGTCCGCCTTCGCCGCCGTCGCGGTGGCAAGGCTAGAAGGGGAGAGGGCCGCGAAAGCCAAATCAGAGCATGAAAGAAAGGAGCTCCAAGATCAACTCTGCGTTGCTAGGCTGGAAGCGGCCAGCGCGCAGGCCATAGCTGCCAAGATGGCTGACCAGAACAAACAATATCAAGATGATCTCAAGAAGCATGAACACGCTAGGGCATCGCTTCGCCAAATGCAATCAGGCGACGGAGCGCGCCCGCAGGCCAAGCCGGTAGGGACGGGCAGACGACCCTCGCCTGCGGCCCAGCCGTCCTGTGCCGCGTCGTCGCAGGCCCGGCCTAGCTCGGCGCCTCCAGCAGGCGGGATGCCGCCACTGCCACGGGTGAGGGCTGCCCAGCAGCCTCAGCCAGTGCGAGGGGGCCCTGCCGAAAGTTGTTCAGTATGTTCTTACCCGAAGGTCGGCATATGCGCCACTTGCGGATCACCAAGTTGCAGAGACCACTTTGATGTGAGCACGAAGCGTTGCGTTGCGTGTGCCCGACGGAAGAGTTTGCCGGTGGGGCAGGCAGCGTGGGATGAGCCATGGAAGCGAGATAGCGCTAACCACAACCTTTTGGCCCAACATCGAAAGTTCCTTGATGACATTTACGCTGACAGTTGTAACATGCAGAGGTTGAAGGGGCAAGCTGAGGAACAGCTTGGTTGAGCTCGGAAAAGTCAGCCGCCAACCTTCGTGAAAAAGAAGAAGCGTTGGCCCGCGCAGCAGCATCAGAGAAAGAGGTGATGGAGCTCAAAGCTGCCATCGCCGAATCCTTGGAAGAAAAAGCCCAGCGTATGCGGTCTCGATCGCAAGCAGCTGACCGAGAGGCGGCCTTGGAGGAAAGGGCAAAAGACATGACAAAGACCATGGGTATGGAATCTTTCCAATTTATCGAGAAAGCGTTGGATAACATGCCCAATTTTCATCAATTCGATGTGCCCCAGCTTTCGCAGGAGATGCCCGCCAGGCCAGCTTTGCAACCTCATTTCGCTGTCCCTGGCAATGCCGCCGAGGGTCCGGCCAAGCCAGGCATCTCCGGGAATAATGTACTATTCGATGCAGAGATGCACAGCGCCGTTGACGACATGACCCTTATTAATTATCCTCCTGTCACCCAGGCGGGACCAGCGAGGCCACCAGCGGCCCAGCCGCCGGGCGGGGGTAAGGGTAATGCGCCAGGGGCCACGCCGTCTGGCGGTGCAGGGCAGAGCAATGATGGAGATGATCAAAGTACCGCCCCAAGTGCCGACTTCTTGCACGCAATCGCCCATGCCGCCCAAGACCAGTCAGGGAAGCCGCCTCGAAGGGATCCGGGGGGTCCTGGATCCCCAGGCGGTGGCGGCGGCCCTGGCGGACCTCAGGGCCCAGGTGGGCCCAATGGCCCAGGAGGTCCCGACGAGAGTGCCCCGCTGGATCAATGGAGACAGGTTGGCAATAATCAAAAGGTTGATCTAAAGGACATCCCCGATGTTACAAATATACGGGAGCGGCAGATGCATGCTACCCGTGCTGTGGCTGGATCGCCCTGAGATCCAGGAGGCACAGCTTTGGATTATGGGAGCCATGGACCCCACGGTGCCCAAATAACAACTTAGAAACCCAGGCCGCTTCCGACGTCTTGACAACGTGATCGCCACTCGCTTGATTGAGAAATTGACAAAGATGCGCAGGAGTCGCAATCTTTCTGTTCATCGCAATCACTTCCTTCACTGGATCCAGCGCATGGAGTTCGCTGCCCAGAGTGAGAGGGGACTTCCGACAGGGCGCAAAATGATACGGGCCATACACTATTGGTGCCCAGTTAGATCGGAGCTGGGTCAGCATTGTATTTCACGTGATATTTTCATGGTCGTTATTGATCCCAATCGCCCTGACGCTGAGCTGTGCGATTTCTATAATGAGTGGGCAGACGTGTATCAGCAGCTCTACGGCGTACGACCCCCGTCAGACGAGATGCGAGCTTCGATCCATGCCCACTTCATTGAGCAATGCAGGATGCCGAAGAAATTGAGCATCATTTGCCAGTTTTTGGATCTGTCTTCAGACAAGCCAGGGGCGGGCATGCGTACTTACGAATGGCTCATTGCTCAGATTGAAAAAATGATGTTGCTTGAGAAAGAAGAATGGAACGTCGATCTGCATGAGGGGTACTTTGAATCAACGTGCTCGT